GACACCGATTAGGTTCTGTCTCCATAAATAAAGGGCATAAACCTCAAGTCATTTTTCTCCTGCATTCTGGTTGAACGATTTTTCACTGTTGAAGGAATAATGATGCCATGGTGAAAAACAGTCAACATGGCTTATGTAAGGGGAGTCATGCTTCAGCCCTTTGGAACGATTTGGGATGTCTTCAGCAAGCAAATGCGGGCACTGGTGACCCACGAAATAAAGTGTCAATGGCTTTTTAGAAAGCTTTGGATCATGTTTCCTACCAAAGGCCTTGGAGGAGATTTAGCAGGAGAGCAGCCATTCCATGGGGTGGGATGCCAATTTCTCTTTATGGTTTGGAAACAATGGGAAACAAAAAGGTAGGAAAGAGTGTAAAGTGGTCACAATGAAAAGGAACTGGGTATTCAGGCCATTAAAATCATAGAATTATAGAATTGGAAGAGACCTCATGGGCCAACCCCCTGCCAAGAAACAGGAAAATCGCATTCAAAGCAGCCCCGACAGATGGCCATCCAGCCTCTGTTTAAAAGCCTCCAAAAAAGGAGCCTCCACCGCACTCTGGGGCAGAGAGTTCCACTGCTGAACAGCTCTCACAGTGAGAGGTTCTTCCTAATGCTCTGATGGAATTCTCCTTTCATTAGCAGTACTTCTTAACCCCAAAGACACAGTACCTAAGATTAAAATTGGATAAACAAACCAAACATGGTTTAGAAAAATTAAGCTTGCATACGACACCCAACTTCTGAAGCCCAGTAAAAATCATGAATTGCTCCATAAAGAGTGGTGGTGGAGGTGGAGGTGGTGGTGGAGGTGGTGGTGGAGGTGGAGGTGGTGGTGGAGGTGGTGGTGGAGGTGGAGGAGGAGGAGGAGGAGGAGGAGGAGGAGGAGGAGAAGGAGAAGGAGAAGGAGAAGGAGAAGGAGAAGGAGAACAACAAGAAGGAGAACAACAACAGGGCCAAGCCCAGGGCAAAATACAATTAAAAACAGAACAACCAGAAGAAGAACTTAGTTATTCCACCAGTGGAATAACTGTCTACTTCCACAACGTAACCCCTAGACAGTAATGTAGTACAAATACACACTCTAAGCCACTGCACGTGGTAGTCCTCTTGTATCACAATGCACATGATTATTTCAACACAGAGGTCCAATTGCAGATTGGGTGGCTCTGTATGTGGAATTCCACTTCCAACATTGTCAGTTACACACACAACCACTGTGCATTGCACACACCAAAAACACCCTGCATGAATAGCCCAAACTGTTCCTGATTGTATATTTCAGTAACATCTACACCGTTAGGAAACCCCGGTGTCGCAATGGGTTAAACCCTTGTGCTGACAAAACTGAAGACCGACAGGTCAGAGGTCCAAGTCTGGGGAGAGCGCAGATGAGCTCCCTCTGTCAGCTCCAGCTCCCCATGCAGGGACATGAGAGAAGCCTCCCATGAGGATGATAAAACATAAAAAAGCATCTGGGTGTCCCCTGGGCAACATCCTTGCAGACAGCCAATTCTCTGACACCAGAGGTGACTTGCAGTTTCTCACTCTTGACACACACACACACACACAAATCCACAGTTGGGTTTGGCTTATTTGATCACTCTCATCTTCACACAGTTATTTGCTGCACAGATTATAAAAAGAAAGTATGGTTATACTTAGCATCTGATGGAGATAAAGAAGAACTCTTATTGTCTCGAGACGACTTCTAACACTAAATATGTTTAGAGTTACGTGGTTCATCAGGCATTTGTGGCTTACCATGCCCAGAATCCCTAAGGCAGGTGGGATTTGAAGGCCAAAACTTCAGCAACTGATAATTTTTGTAGAGAGGAAAATCTAAGTGATTTTACTATTTTATCTGAATTGTGTGATTATGCAGATTAGTAGCTGATTTTCTTTACAGTCTTGGAAAAATCAGCCACATTACATGGGTGCCTGGCTGGGAAAGTGAAGCTAACAAGACATTTCTTTTTTCATAAGGCGATAAGTCAATTCTTAGTGCGTTCTAGCCTAATGATTTACCAATGTGGTCTACTAGTGCCATCTACTGTATAGTGCAGAAAGCATTTTCAAACAATCCTCCCTATCCATAATGCAAGTCTCAATTTTGCCATTTTATATAAAAGACACCATTCACAACTATAGTATCCATAGATTTTGGTTTCCACAGGTGGTTCTGGAGCCAAACTGTAGTGCAAGCATCCTCAAACTGAGGCCCTCCAGTTGTTTGGGCCTCCAACTCCCAGAATTCCTGACCATTAAACATAATGGCTAGGGCTTTTTGGAGTTGGGGGCCCAAACAGCTGGAGGGCCACAGTTTGAGGATGCCATGCCTCCTGTTGTTCCCAACTTTAAATTAATATCTTCTCCTACTACAGGAAAAAGAGGTATGTTCTTCCAAAACTCTTGGTGTGCTTGTTAGTTATAAAGAAGAGCAATTGACTTAACCTATATATATGTAATTAAGAAGTACAACTACTGAGTCACAGAGGGTTTCAGCATATTATTACAATAATTGGAGCCTCCAGTGACGCAGTGGGTTAAACCCCTGTGCCGGCAGAACTGAAGACCACAGGTCGCAGGTTCAAATCCGGGGAGAGTGCGGATGAGCTCCCTCTATCAGCTCCAGCTCCTCACGTGGGGACACAAGAAAAGCCTCCTACAAGGATGATAAAACATTAAAATATTCGGGCATCCTCTGGGCAACATCCTTGCAGATGGCCAATTCTCTCACACCAGAAGCGACTTGCAGTTTCTCAAGTCGTTCCTGACATCACAAACAACAAATTATAATAATTGTTTTTAAGAGAATTTCAACAAACTCTAGTTTTTTCCCCAAAGACGGTCTGTTTACTATCACTATCAGAAGGTTAATTTATTCTTAATCTTTCATAAATTTTTATTATGCATTTTTAAAAATTGCACAAAGAAAAAAGGAGAACAAAGAAGAGAGTAAGTAATGGAGTTCTAAACAGCAGATTAGGACTGTATATACCTGTATTATATCACCGAGGAAGAGGAAGGGGATTGAGGGGGAGAGAACTTATGTTTGTCGTAATTATTACATCTATATATTCAACTCAAGTGCTATTATACACATCATCTAAAGCAGGGGTCCTCAAACTAAGTCCCAGGGGCTGGATGCGGCCCTCCAAGGTCATTTACCTGGCCCTCGCTCAGGGTCAACCTAAGTCTGAAACGACTTGAAAGCACACAACAACAATCCTATCTCATCGGCCAAAAGCAGGCACACACTTCCCAAGTTTATATTTGCTTAAAAAAATTCATTTAAAGCTTTAAAGTGTTTTTTGCACTACAAATAAGATATGTCCAGTGTGCATAGGAATTCATTCATATATTTTTTTCAAATTATAATCCGGCCCTCCAACAGTTTGAGGGACTGTGACCTGGCCTTCTGTTTAAAAAGTTTGAGGATCCCTGATCTAAAGTTTTGAAAGTTCCAAATGTCCTGTGTAACAGAACAGAACACACTCTTGTCATCCAATGTCAAGACTAGTAGTCATATCTTCGCATACTACCTAATGATCTTCCAAAATTCTTTTCCAGTTCTCTACATGTATTTTACCTAATTTTAACTATTGTCATATACAGTAAACCTAAAAATTAAGTTCCATTTGTTAGTAAATTAATATTGTGTGAGAATATTTTTTTCGTGTCAGTAGCAACTTGGGAAACTGCAAGTCGCTTCTGGTGTGAGAGAATTGGCCATCTGCAAGGATATTGCCTAGAGGATGCCCGGATGTTTTACCATCCTGTGAGATACTTCTCTCATGTCCCGGCATGGGAAGCTGGAGCTCACAGATGGGAGTTCACCCCACTTCCCAGATTCAAACTGCAGACCTTTCGGTCAGCAGTCCTGCAGGCACAAGGATTTAACCCATTGTATGTACCACCAGGGACTCCTAGAATTCACTATGTTACATTGTCATTTTTTCTTTTTAAAAACCACTGCACAAAGTAAGTATTTGTGTACGTGTGTGTTTATAACAAGGTTTGTAACCATTTCTATTCTAATTAAAAAAAATACTCATAGGTAAATTATTCTTTACACTGAAATTCCACACACTCTGAAATCTCAGGGGAATTTACTCTACTTCCAAGTACACATGATAGGATTTGCCTATTGACGTGACTAGCAAGATGCGAAGTCACATGGTGCAAAGCCCTATTAATTCCAAAAGGGACTTGGATGCAAGAACTACCTTTCTTGATATCAGAGCTATTTCCTAATCTAGAAAGGCAGACATTAATATGTTAAGAGTCAGCGTGGTATAGTGCTTTGGGTGTTGGGACTACAATTCCAGAGACAAGGGTTCATATTCGCATTCAGCTAAGGAAACTTTTGTCAAGTTAACTCTCCCATCCTCGGAGGAAAGCAATGGTAAAACTTCCATGGGCAATTCCTCCCAAGAAAACATTGCAATAAGGTCAACATTAGGTAATGTTGAGAGGAAGGCACAAAACAAGAACAACAACAACAACAACTGTGTTAACCCAGTCCTTAAATCACAATCTTGAACATTATGTGGCCGTTTAAGTAGTGCAAATACAGTAGAGTCTCGCATATTCAACATAAACGGGCAAGCAGAACATTGGATAAGTGAAAATATTGGATAATAAGGAGATATTAAGGAAAAGCTTATTAAACATCCATTTATGTTATGATTTTACAAATTAAGCACCAAAACATCATGTTTTACAACAAATGGACAGAAAAAGCAGTTCAATACAAGGTAGTGTTATGTAGTAATTACCGTATTTATGAATTTAGCACCAAAACATCACAATGTATTGAAACAGTAGTGGATCCGGGTGGGAGGCAGACTGCATTGGATAATACAGACCGTTGGATGAGCAAAGGTTGGATAAGCGAGACTCTACGTTAGTGCATTTTAAATAGTGGCCATTTTAAAGTGCAATTCAGAACACATTCACTTGAAAGGAAATTCCACTGATTCAAATGGGACTTACTTCAAAATAACAGCATTAGATCGCAGCCTGAATTTCATTTTGAGGTTATTTTTATTGACTAAACAAATACAGCCAAGGAACTTCAAGAGTTGCATTTTTCAATGATTTACTTTTCAAAAGTAAAAACAAAAGCATATTTAAAATACAAAAGAGTTTTAAAACAAAGATTAAAAATGATACATTCATGATTATCAGTAAACGCAACATGCTCTCTTCCTTACACAAATCTCAACGTTGATGTAGCAGGTCCTTGTCACATTAGTTTTGACTGTCCCTGTTTCTGTGGAAGAATTTGTTGAATAATCCCCTCTATTTCCAGCATCTATGATCCTAAGTACAATGACTGCGGTCAAAGGTTTTCATGTAGTTCTGCTGTTATCCGTACAGTAACTCTCTAAAATGAAAACAAAACAAGAAGAGCAACACATCAGTAATTCATTATACATAAACTTCTCATTTATCAGGTGAACGTTGGGAACTACAGAAAAAGAGATTCCACCTGAACATGAGGAAGAACTTCCTAACTGTGAGAGCTGTTCAGCAGTGGAAGTCTCTGCCCCAGAGTGTGGTGGATGCTCCTTCTTTGGTGGCTTTTAAACAGAGACTGGATGGCCATCTGTCAGGGGTGCTTTGAATGTGATTATCCTGATTCTTGGCAGGGGGTTGGACTGGATGGCCCATGAGGTCTCTTCCAACTCTATGATTCTATGAATCTCAAAGTCCTCCAGACTCCAGTTCCTAGGAGATCTAGTCAGCATAGCCTATGAAGAGAAACTTCAATGATAGTTGCTTTTGGTCTAACATCTGGAGGGCCACACAATTCTCACTCTTATGTTAGAATCTGGACAAAAACAGACCTGGATATTTAGATACTAGGCATGGGCGATCGATGGTTCTAAATAGTTCTAAAGTACTTACAAAACTAGAGGGCGCTGGTGCTTTGCTTCTGTAATGTTGCTAAAGTTCTGGTGGTGAAAATTTCGCTAACAAAATTTCTAAATTTCGTTATAAATGGCAGTTCCTAATTGGTTCTGTTATAAAAATTGCCAATAACAAAACAATATTGCCATTTTGAAACTTTTGTTAGTGTTCTGAAATGTAAATAACAGAGCGAAAGTTTGCAGCAAACAGCAAGAAACAACAGATTAGACCCAAAGTGTGAATTAGAGGTCCATTTCTGCTTTTTCTTCAAAATTAATTAAAATACAGTTTATAAAGTTGCTTTTAAAGGCTGAGACACAGCCTTTACCTCAGATTGTTTGCTCAGTTGTTTGCTCCGAATATGAAATCATCTGCCATCTATTATACGCACCTGAAAATCGTTGATGAATGTTAGGAAGAAGAACACAAAACCAAAGGCTACTGTCCATTCACAGAATGCACTCACAATATGATACACATAATCCTATAGGAAGAAGAAATGAAAACAGTAAGAACAAATGCTAAATAGATTCAAAAGGTTTAGCATTTTCTGGGAGTGCAATGTTGTAAGTAGATGACTGTTTAAATGTAGGTCTCTCTAAAATTGAGATCCCCTGCTGAGAAGATCTATCCAAGAGTCCCACCAGCACGACACCAACTGAGATCATTTTAAGGAAGAGGTGGTGGTGATTTTTGTTATTCTATTCTGTTGTCTTTTCAACACAATACAATCATAGTGCCTTGATAACCATTTCAACTGGTTTTTGGTTTGGTTTTTGGTTTGTTTGTTTTTTTCATGTCAGGAGCGACTTGAGAAACTGCAAGTCGCTTCTGGTGTGAGAGGAATAGCCATCTGCAAGGACATTGGCCTGGGGACGCCTGGATATTTTGATGCTTTACCATCTTTGTGGGAGGCTTCTCTCATGTCCGCATGGGAAGCCAGAGCTGACAGAGGTAGCTCATCTGCGCTCTCTCCAGATTTGAACCTGCAACCTATCAGTCTTCAGTCCTGTCGGCACAAGGGTTTAACCCAGCAGTCATCAAACAAAGGCCCGGGGGCCGGATGCGGCCCTCCAAGGTCATTTGTCCGGCCCTCGCTCAGGGTCAACCTAAGTATGAAACTACTTGAAAGCACACAATAACAGCAATCCTATCTCATCAGCCAAAATCAGGCCTACATTTTCCATTGAAATACTAATAAGGTTATATTTGTTAAAATTGTTCTTAATTTTAATTATTGTATTGTTTTTAAATGTTTTTGCACTATAAATAAGATATGTGCAGTGTGCATAGGAATTCATTCATATTTTTTTCTAATTATAATCTGGCCTGCCAATAGTTTGAGAGACTGTGACCTGGCCCTCTGTTTAAAAAGTTTGTGGACCCCTGGTTTAATCCATTGCGCCATTGGGGGCTCCAGTGAAGCTCCAGTTCTCTTTGTCAGTTTGGTGAAGTGCCAGTAAGACCTTGTTAAACTACATCTCCCATGATGCCATAAAACTGAGCCTGGCTGTTAAAGTAGTGTCAAGGTGTGAAAATTTTACAGTGTAGATGCACCCTCTGAAGCTATGTAGGGTCAGGCCTGCTTTAATTCTAGGATGGAGGACGCTAGGGAATACTGTGCACTCTAGGTTGTTTCAGAGGAAGGCAACAACAAATCACCTTAAGAAAAACTGACAGAGTTCGTAGGGTTGCCATAGGTTGATAGACAACCCAAAGGCGCATAAAGGCACATAACAGTGTCGTAAGGACATCTTAATTATTATGTAGAATTCATAAGGGCACTGCTCCCTCTTGTGGCACAAAATTTCCACAGACAAAATAGCTGGAAATTACAGGTACAAAATAACAGAAATTTGCAGCTACCACCAACAGCAGCACCAAAACAATAGCCTAAAGCTTTTCCTAAATGTATTATATACCCCTTGTGTGTGTGAAAATGTTTCTTGTGTGTGTGAAAATGTCTTGTGTGTTTGTGTTGTTCTTCTAAATGTATAATGTACCCCTTGTGTGTGAAAATGTCCCTTGTGTGTGTGCATTAATCTTCTAAATCAGTGGTTCTCAACCTGGGGTCCCCAGATGTTTTTGGCCTCCAACTCCCAGAAATCCTAACAGCTGGTGAAGTGGCTGGGATTTCTGGGAGTTGTAGGCCAAAAACATCTGGGGACCACAGGTTGAGAACCACTGTTCTAAATGTATTATATATCCCTTGTGTGTGTGGATATATCTCTTTTTTGGGATTGAGAACAAGGTGCTATTCTACTCATGGGGTCTGGGAGTTTGAATGGTCCCCAGGATCCATGTAATCCAGGGATTGGCAACTGTGGAAGACTGTGGTCACATTACCCCTGCAGGATTTTTTTTGCCGGCCATGTCTTCCCTGCACTTGCTCCAGCAAAATAATAATAATAATATATGCAATTGTCTATTGAACCTAGCCAAAATTAAATAGCAGTTAATCATGGACTAACTGGCTGAAGAATGAAATATTTTACCTAATGAGGTTTTACCTTTTCACCTGGATTCCAGTCAATTTTTGTTATGGAAATTAGTGAAGCACATGCAATCACTGCAGAATGAAAGATTAAGGAGGCAATAACTGAGTTTTAAAAAATGAATAATAAAATGTACTATGCTACCCATGTCCCACAAATTGCACACTTTTGCTATACACCTTTAACAAGTAAACCAAGGATAGGGAAAATGCAGCCGTGGGACCACATGCAACCCTGCTCTCTGTTGCTACAAAAACAGTGATGCTTTTGCAATCATTGACCACTTTTAACTTCCCTGATAGTCATTTCTTGCCCAAACAAGCATGACTGGAAACTTCCAGGACTGGTTATTTAACTTCTAAATGCATAGATTGAGGGGAGTCCTGCAAAAAAAAAAAAACAAACCCAATAACACAATTTCACAAAGCCAAAAGATCAATTCTGGTCCCTTCTGTTCTTGATTTTCTCATTTTGGACTGTCTGCCCAGTCCTTGAGGGTCTTGGCCCTCAGATCTGTCACTGTTGCCATGTTTCTACTGCAACTAAATCTGTGATGGAAACAAACTGAAAGAGCTGATACCTCAGAATAAGCCATCAAATAGCTGAGATCCTAATTTGGAATGCTCATATTATTCAGATATTATGACTGTATTCCTAGGCTTGTGCAACATGTTGACTGAAGTGAGATAAACATGTTACTTTATTTACATAGAAAGTTATTACAAGACCTGGAAATATTAAGATGTTTTGGGCTGGCCTTTAGCACAGCTGGTTAATTACCAGCAGCAATACATCTTACCAATCAAAAGGTTGGCAGTTCGAAGCCTGGAAAGGTTGAGCACCTGACCTTCAGCCTAGCTTACTGTCCACCTAAGCAGCTCGAAAACAGCTGTGAGCTGTGAGTAGAGAAATTAGGCACAGCTTAAGCAATGAGGTGTTTTACGGCACCATAAAAGAAATACCAGAAAAATGCCAGCTATCAAAAGAAGGAGGAAGTCTGTGACCAAAGCTCTTCGTCATAGAGGATGGAACAACAGCACTCCCTGTGCCTGGAATTGGGCACAACCTCCAGGATGCTGAAGTTGGGGGGGGGGGTGCCAACAAAATACCTCTATCAGCTGTCTGTCCTGTCTGTTTAACGGTATTGAATGTTTCTTGTGTATGTGTTCTGTGATCCGCCCTGAGTCCCCTTTGGGGTGAGAAGGGCAGGATATAAATGCTGTAAATAAATAAATACATACATAAATAAATAAATAAATTTTAGATACCTAAGTCACATCTTTGGATTACAGTGACCTGAAGCCCCAACCAAATGTCCAGTTGGTATATTTAGAAATGTCCCAAAAAGGATACTGGGGAGGATAGCGACTGCAGTAATTATAGAGAGGAACAGCCTTATGAGGCATATACACTGAGTACTCCACTGCGGGTACGATTTGTAAGAGATGAATGTTTGAAACATAATGTAGAAAGTACCAAAGAGAAATGCCACAAGGGCTCCTCCATCGTGTACAGCAGGGACTGTGAGCTCCTGCAAAGAGAATTGAGAAGACAATTGAGAAGGCCTTATTGAAGATTTCAGTTGCATTAATATACACATAAACATATAAGAAGACTACCAAAAGCAGAAAAACAGGTACAGGGTTAGATCAAAAAGATTCTGTAATTATGGCTTGCTCAAAATTTTAATCTTCGAATTATAAAGGATCAATTCCCTGAGGTATTTGGCCAACCAAGATTGTCATTATTATTATTTTTTTAAAGTTAGCCTATTGGGTTTTGGAAAAGCAAACATCAGTCTAAAAAAGCTGCTCCAACAAATGGGCATGGTTTGGATCATTAGCATTGCTTGCTGTTTAGGGCAATATGTTAATAATAGTACCAAGAGGCTGTAATCTCAACCAAAATAATACCAGAGAACCTGGAATCTCAGAACAGTTTATTACGCTTGCTCAATGTACTGAAGGAGGGAGTACTTCCACTGAGTAGAAGCTGACTAATGGGTTCTTTCCTATTGAGCATGACTTTAAAAAATTCAAGCAAACTCATTATTCACATCATCCTGGACTAAGGAATTATTCTAGGCAAATCCTGGTAAATCCTGGTAAACACAAGTGCAACAAGATTATGTTGTGATGACATTTTTAATGCCATCCCTAATCCCCAATACTAGGAGAGGTGGTTTCATTTTCCTGTAATTTGCTATGACTTTCATCTGTTTCCAAGACTTTTGGATTCCTCAAATCAATGGAAGAATACCAGGTATGGGAAAACTTAGGCCCTCCTGTTAGGAATTGTGAAAGTTGAAGTCCAAAAGACCTGGAGGGCCGATGTTTGTCCATGCCTGATTTTTCTTTTCATGTCAGGAGCGACTGGAGAAACTGCAAGTTGTTTCTGGTGTGAGAGAATTGGCTGTCTGCAAGGACTTTGCCCAGGGGACGCCTGGATGTTTTGATGTTTTACCATCTTTATGGGAGGTCACCTTGATTAGCATTGAATGGTCTCACTGGTTCAAAGCCTGGCTGATTCTGCCTGGAGGCATCTTTTGTTGTGAGGTGTTAGCTGGCCCTGATTGTTTCATCCCTGGAAGAGAAGCTACAAGGCCATTCAATGATAATGAGGGTCTTGTTATTTTCAGCCTTTAACAATTTTTTAATGTTGCTCAAAATTACTTCTCCATCTGTCCTTAATATTTAATCATTTCCTTCTCCCTCTTATGAAAAAATTCCTTGCAAATTGAAAGCACTTATTTCATGATCTACATACATTCAGTAGTAAAAATACTCCAAAAATATCAGAAGTACATGGGAGGGGGATTTGAAATACTGCAAAAAGAGTAACTTTTCTAAACTTTGAGCTGGAAACAATACATAATTGGGAGTCACATAATGGAATGAAAACACCTGTAAATGGCTTCAGACAGAGCTTTTTAGGACCGTTTTTATCAATGTAAAATGGAAATAATTTTAATATTTCTTGCAATATCCATTCTAGTTTTCTGCTATTGCTTTGAACTGAGTTGTTTTGAAAGCATGATCTTAAAATGCTTCTAGAATAGGATATTCAATGCTTCATGGTGCACAATTTAATACATGACAAACATAAAGATGTACTTATTCAGTGTTACCTGGAAGCTTGCAACAATCCCCATTCCAATACAGCCCAGCAGCCCAATGGTCAGTGCCGCCAGATTGGACCAAGGAGAAATAAAATCCGTAATTTCATTTTGCTTTTTTACAATTAGATATCTGATATACATTGTAACTGCACCTAAAAGACACACAGAGAGATAGCAAAAAATTATTCAGAAATTGTTCTAAAAGCAAACTACTCAACAATTTAGTTTGGTCCTGACAACAAAAGGAAAATATTGGGCAACATTCTGCATCACATTCATAGCGACGTAAATGTAGCTTCAAATGACCTAAGGAATGGATCCCCAAACCCACCTTGAACTCCAGGAGCTCATCCGAGCCACCGAGGTCTGTTGTGCAGTTGAATGGGGAGGGGGGCTTCAGGATGATGGAGTCAACTTCTTGCCACCCATAAAGGGGCAAAAGATATGGCCATGCCATCCTGTGCCCACCACCACCATCACTTATGTTACTCAAAGTAGTTCGCTGGAGTTTAAGGTGGGTTTCGGGAGGTACTAAAAGTGCCACAAGTGTGAATAGAAACGGAAGACTGAACAGTTACAGATCTGTAACCCTATATCACAAATTCACAACTGCAATGCAGAATGCCAAGCAATTATATTCAACCAATGAACATGTTCTACTAGAGGTGGGGAACATGGCTCTCCAAGCGTCATTGGTTAGCAACCATAATCTTCCCTCTTCAAAACCAGCGATGAAATCTGCAAAACCTCAATCCATCTGTATAACATGCCCTGAATTCTGTTTTGGGGTGAATCTACACTGTAGAATTAATGCAGTTTGATCATAATTTAACTGGTATGGCTCATTGCTACGGAACATGGAAGGTATAGTTTGGTAAGGAACCAGCACTCTTTGCCAGATAAAGTTAAAGCCCTTGTCAAACTACAACACCCATAGTTCCATAGCATTGAGGCATAGCAGTTCAAGTGGTGTTACACTGCATTAATTCTACAGTATTAATTCTACACCCTTCGTTAACTTAAGAGACACTATATAATTGAGCTTGGCGAGAGTATAGCGTAACTCACTCCTTTTATCTAAGAATGTTTGAAGCCACCAACTTTTGCTAATTGTATGGGATAGGGGTGAATATGTAGCTTTCCCAATCTTGCAAAACAGCAAATCTCCTATCCACACAGTCAACATTCAAATGTCAATGGATTCCCCATCCCAAATTATATCTACCATACCAACTTTATGACAGAGTAGCAGGGGCACATAAGATAGGTTTTAATTTGTATGTTGATATATATGGGAATAGGTTATAAGAATTATTGCTTTGAATTAAGTACAGAAATGAAGAGACTATGACAACGGTGACTGATAAGGCATGAAATGGCATCTCTTGAATTATTTGTTTTGCATCTCAGACAGAGAAAAAGACAAGATATAAATAGCAGCAACAACAATGACAACAATAAAATAAGGAATCCTATATCAGCATATCTACGAGGGTTAACTGAAAAGTAATGCCTCCACTTGTGTTACTTGGGTTTGGATGGGAATGTTTTAATAAATCAAATGCAGAAATAATCCTTAGATTATTTCCACAATTCACTTTTCTACATAATCACCAAACAATTGGATACATTTCTGCCAACAATGAACAAGTTTTCTGAAGCCGTCACGGAAGAAGTCGACACTGTTTCCACAACCAGCATCTCACAGTTCTCTCATTCTGGGTTCCCATCTTCCGATAGCCAAACAAAGCAATAATGTGACTCACATGTTCTTGTGAAATGCCAATTATGATTGAAATTTCTCTCTGAGTGATATGATGATCGTCCTGAATCAATCTGTCAACCTTTTGCTTTTGAAATTCGGTGGTTGCTGTCACAGGACGTCCAACACTTTTTGTCACGAAGTCAGATGTTCCCACCTCAACATCTTTAAACTTACTCACCCAATGACGCACAGTACTCACATCAACACAATCACCATAAACAGCTTGCATTCTCTGATGAATCTCCTTTGGGGTGACACTTCTGCTGTCAAGAATTCAATGACTGCACGTTGCTTAAGTCACATTGACCGACCATCTGCACAGGGTTCCATACTTCGCGCTTAACAACAGAACCATTCAATGCTAAGGCTTCCCGCCCAAATGGAACTGTAGAGGAGAGTCTACTAAACAAGCCAGTACCTGCCACATAACAGTACTGCCATCTGTTGAGGAATTAAGAAGGTGGAGGCATTACTTTTCATTCAACCCATAAAGTGGGTGTGTGGGTAAAGACACAATCATGGCAATACTGTCACAATCATGACTTAGTAGTGATCATGAAGATAGAACAGTTACAGTATAAACAAACAGACAGATACTTACCTAGGATGGCAGAACCATTAATCATAAATCCAAATATACCACTTTCTGGAGGTTTTGCTCCTGTATCACTAATACAAATGCAAACAAACCAAAAAGAGCATATTTTAATTTAATTTGCAGAGGTCACATTAATAATCTTATTCTACTAAATTAATAAACATACTTACATTTACTGCCTGCTAATAGAAAGCTGGATTATATTTCATGCCTGAGAATGTAGGGCTTTGCTAATCAAGTCAAGAGGATCAAGACAGAATAATTATAACTTCCACTGAAATCAATGAAGGATGTTCAAACCCTCTCCCAAATACACAAGTGTAACAACCTGAACCTTTTTTTGGATCTCAGCTCCCAGAAGCTGTAAGTCAATAACCATTTATGTTCGAAAAGAAAAGAATTAATGGCCAGTGTCCTTAACTGGGGTCCCTTCCACACAGCTGAATAAAATCCCACATTATCTGCTTTGAACTGGGATATATAGCAGTGCGGGCTCAGAAATCCCAGTTCAAAGTAGATATTGTGGGATTTTCTGCCTTGATATTCTGGGTTATATGGCTGTGTGGAAAGGCCCTACATCATCTAAATAAGAATATTTGCCTAAGTAACTTCCCCAAACTTAATGGAAACATGTGTCACCTATGCTCCAATTGCTGGCAGAATGAACCTCCTCCTCCCCATATAGGTAATGTCTGGTAAAGTAGGTTGGGCAATGGGCGAAGAGGAAAGATACCGTTCTGACAACAGTGTCACAATGGTTGCTAAGTAGCGATTGTGAATACGGAACCCTTACCTAGACTTACCCATCTGTCACTATTCTATATTCGTGATTGCTACTTGGACACAATTGTGACATAATCCCACTCAACCTACTTTACCAGGCACTAGATACACAAGGAAGAAGAGATCCATTCTGCCAGCTATTGAAGACACAGTCAATGACATTTTAATCAGGTTTGGGAGATTTGGGTAAAGGGAGGCTATTTAGTTAAGTATCCTTAGCATACTTTATTTATCTATCGTGTCAGAAATGAGTTGAAGATACAGTTATAATTATTTAAAAACACAAAGTTTAAAAACTTGGCATTATACTAGATTTCCTTTGACTAGAAGCTAGCCACTTGGAGAGCCTCTGGTGTCGCTGCAAGAAGGTCCTCCATTGTGGCAGGGCTCTGGCTGCATTGTAGTAAGTGGTCTGTGGTTTGCTTTTCTCGACACTTGCAAGTCGTGGATTCCACTTTGTAGGCCCATTTCTTAAAGTTGGCTCTGCATCTTGTGGTGCCAGAGCGCAGCCTGTTCATTGCCTTCCAAGTCACCCAGTTTTCTGTGTGCCCAGGAAGGAGTCTTTCATTTGATATCAGCCACTGATTGAGGTTCTGGGTTTTAGTCTGCCACTTTTGGAGTCTTTCTTGCTGAGGTATTTCTGCAAGTATCTCTGTGGATCTTAGGAAGCTTTTTCTTGATTTAAGGTGTTGGAATGCTGGCTGATATCTGAACAGAGCATGGGCTGGAGATCTCAATGCCTTGGTTCTTTCATTACAGGCTGCTACTTCCCAACGGATGTCAGGTGATGCAATACTGGCTGAACAGTATAATTTCTCCAGTGGTGTAGGGCATAGACATCCTGTGATAATGTGGCATGTCTCATTAGTAGACTGACAGTCAACATATTCAAGCCCTTATAGCTTGGTCCTGAGCAAAAAACTAACAACTGAACTCTATCAGTATCAGCCTCTGGCTGGGTTGAATATGACTGAATAACTTTTAAAATACATCTTTCAGAAGCATGTTTATGTGTTTTTAAAAGTATCTTACATTCACAATTTCATTAGAAATATGCCAGGAGGAAATTTACCTGCAGTATGAAACTCAAACGAACCACTTAGGACAAATCTAAAGTACTTCTGCAATTGGAAACTGGCCCGTGCTACCTGAATACTATACTGAGCTGTGATCACTTCAGATCCTTTGAAGAACACTAGGTAAGATGAGAACAGCACCTGTACGGGTGACTCACGCACAATCTGAACTTCTTCCATGAACACTTAATGCCTTAAGAGCATTCCAAATGCTTACAATTGCACTGAAAATCATTCATTCTTATTTAAGGTTTTCACATCCAGATTTGATGTAGGAGTTAAAATGCTTTGGAAATGTGGTTTTCAATACTTTAATCCTATTTGGATATTGACTATTTTTGTGTTTTTAACTATACTGTAACCATTTTAATTTGCAAGCTGCCACAGTTTTGATGGGAAAGTCGGAGTATAAATAAAGTTTACAATAACAACAAATAAGCCCTACTACAAAACTATATTTTAATAACACTACTAAATTAACAGCACAGTACATTAAAAAGTATGATTACACATGAGAGGATGGACAGAATGAGGGCACTATCCCCAAATAAGAATTTTGTCCATTCAATTAAATTTTCCTCCATTTCCCAAATTTCTAACTTTATAGAGTGAGGCTTCCTTTGTTCCTTAGGGCACATTTACACTGACTCTTTACTCCAGGGCCAATCTGGAGTGTAAAATTCTGGATTGCCCCTGGGAGGGTTTCGACTGCCATCCCCTGGCCCCTGCAGAGATGGGAAGGAGTCCTGACAGTCCAGAAGAACAAAACCACTTGGCAACCACCCTGACTCTCCCCACAGAGGTGGCCACCGGGTATGATGTGATTAGTGTCCATTGTTCAAAGCCTGGATTGACGATGGCCAGGTTGCAAGGGCAACATGGGAGAGGGGAAGGGAGAGGAGGAATCACACCCTCCATTCCCCAAGCCCTTCTCTGATTGCCTCTGTGCCCCAGTGGATGCCAACCTAAGTAACATGTGACAGACACTGGCCATGTTGCACTGGTTAGATGCCACTACAATAGGAACAGGAAGGAGGGCACTGGCTATCCAATGTTGTCAAAACAAGTTTGGTAGCTATGGACAAGTTTCCCGTTCTTGAGTTGGGAGTGTAGTAACTGCTTTGGGAAATGGTGATTGGGCATTCAGACAACATGGCCAGTCCAGCAGAGTTGGAGGCGTAAGAACATCGCTTCAGTGCTGATTGTCTGCTTCCTCCAGCATGCTGACATTTGTCTACCTGTCTTCCCAAGAGATTTGCAGGATTTTTCAGAGGCAACGCTGGTGGAATCATTCCAGAAGTTGATGGATAAACCCAATCCTCCATTCAATTCTGAAGCCCTTGGGATCCACATAATAAGAAATCCCCTGTGTGGTCCTCCTGCCAAGGATGTCTGCCTGAGCTGAGAAAAATTTCTTCAGTCCTGCACCTCTGACGTTGTTCAAGGGAATGTTAATGCTACCCAGTGCCTGAGAGATACAGAAAAAAGATATCCTAGACCAGGAACTGAAGCCAACGATCCCCACAAAACTCTTTCCCACTTCCACAGCAACTAGGGGCTGGCAGTCAAAACCATCCCAGTTTTGCCATTGCTGTCACCATTTCCTAAAGGTCTTTCAGCATTCTACTCAGAGAAGAGGATGGCAGAAAGTACTTTGTTGTTTATTTATTCAGTCACTTCCAGCTCTTCGTGACCTTCGGGACTAGCCCACGACAGAGCTCCCTGTCGGCCATCGCTGCCCCCAGCTCCTTCAAGGTCAAGCCAGTCACTTCAAGGATAACATCCATCCATCTTGCCCTTAGCTGGCTCCTCTTCCTTTTCCCTTCCATTTTCCACAACATCATTATCTTCTCCAGGCTATCATGTCTTCTCATTATGTGGCCAAAGTACTTCATCTTTGCCTCTAATATCCTTCCCTCCAGTGAGCAGTCAGGCTTTATTTCTTGAAGTATGGACTGGTTTGATCTTCTTGCAGTCCAAGGCACTCTCAGAATTTTCCTCCAACACCACAGTTCAAAAGCATCTATCTCCCTTCATCAGCCTTCCTTATGGTCCAGCTCTCTCATCCACACAGTGAGGACCACTGTGATGTCTCAACTCTTCACCATTTTATCAAAATAGCTCTCCTTCCAAGAAGTAAACTAAAGTACATCATACACTCTAATTTAAAAATGAACAATTCCCTTCTCTGATTAAGGTGGTAAAATTTCAGAGCTTAATCTTTGAAGGAAAGCATCAGACTGCTGTTGCTATTTCCCTGCCCAGGCATTCAAGAAAGCCGGAAGTAGCACCACAGCAGAGAGAGTGGAGAGGATTAGTGTTTCTTTTAGGTTCTCCCAGGATGGACTAGTTTCTTGTCTTTTGCAACTCTGTTCGGAAAAGGAGGCTTCTTTTTTCATATGAGTTAAAGTACAGTACTTATACTGACCCATAGATAAGTTGACCCAAGTTTTAGGGATATTCTTTTTTTTAAAAAAATGATATTTTCCACAATATACACTGCGGAGTGGAAGGGAGGGGTACAGCTAGTAATATTATAAAATGCATTGTTTACTTGCCCTCCACAACATTTTCCCTTTCCATGATGATTCATTAGATATGTGCTAACATTTATTAACCTACTAACAATAACTTGGGCAAGTAAACAATTTTTATAGTATTACTAGCTGTACCCGCTGTGGCCAACCTTCCCTCCCTCTTTCTCTCCTTTCCTTCTTTCCTTACCTTTTTTTCTTTCCTTCTCTCCTTCCTTCTCTTCCTTCCCCCCTTTTCTTCCCTTCCCCTTTCTCCCCTTTCTTCTTCTACATTTGCATGTTTTCAAAGTGCTAGGTTGGTAGAAGCTGGGACTAATAGTGGGAGCTCACGCCGCTTCCCGGATTCGAACCCGCGACCTTTTGATCAGCATGTTCAGTAGTTCAGTGCTTTAACCCACTGCACCACCGGGGGCTCCAGGAAGCCAGAATATGATTACAGTTCTTTTCAAGATAGATTCTAATATACAAATACAACAATAAAAATCAATAGGACTCTTAGAGGAGAGGATTTAATAACTGTTTCAAAATTCAAACATGTACCATTTTTATCTTTTGGAATTTGTTGTCTTTCCCACCAAATTCTAGGTGATTTTTCAAGTTCATCATGCTCAAAATGACATTTTACCAAAAAAGTATTTGAATTGAATGTTATGCTCCCCATTCAGCAACAAATAAAGGATTGATAATAAAGAGAGTTTTTTTAAAAAAAATCCTTAAGTATTTAAGATTTATTGCAAATTGCTATGTCTTTAAAGAGAAACCTGGCATTATCCGTCATAGAATTCTATGTTCCTATGATGCTGCTTGCTTTATTACTGTACTGATAAATCAGTGTTTATTTCCTTAAAATCTGTGATAATATTCTAAGGCTCGAACCACATTTCTGTGACTTCCTGAACAGATTAGAGAAGTTATTCATTTTATCAATCTGATTTTTTTTTAAAAAAACTTGTGATTTCACGATACAACATTTTTGCAATGGTTTACAATGTTTAGAGGTCTCTCGCAATGAATAGAGGAATCCCACTATGTGGTTTTATATGACTTATATAGTATGCTGTGAGAATCATTCTGAATAATCTTGCAGTAAATCCAACTTCTCTATCAGATGGTCAAAAGGCACCAAAGTCACAGCTCTGCCTGGAATCTCAGTTTCCACTTGGCGACGACTCCAAACCAAGGTTCTCCTTTTACAAAGGTTAACTTTAGGGCATCTTGTGACAATCATAAAAGCACATGATCAAAATGAAGATTAAGACAAAGGGCACATCTACACTGATCTTTCAATGCAACTTCAATCTGATTTCAAACAGTGGTAACTACAAAACGCATGCCACCAAAGTATGTTGTGTGTGCATTAAGTAAAAGGGATGGGAATGTCTGAGTTAACCTCCTATGCCTTCAGAGTACTGGTGCAAATCTCTCTCAGAAAAAATGGGCAAAAAACACATAGCGGTTTGAGG